CATCTAGAAAGCCTCAGTGTGACTGGACTTGTAGCTGAGAAGTTCACTGAGCTATTAATTTAACAGAACCCTGGGATTCTGCATTTTAAAATCAACACAAAGCCTGAAAGGGATTAATTTAATTTACAGTTGCACAACAAAATGGTTTTAAATATCTTACAGTTACTAAATATATGTTCATGGATAACTGTGTGTGTTTTTAAGCACCCTAGACTGCTTTCTTCTGTGATCACAGCACCATCCCTTCAGTTTCCTAGCTAGACTTCCAAAGCTTTCACTGACAACACAATTGTCCTAAATATAATCCCTAGCATCCTGCTTTGAGTCTGGAATTTGAATTTAAAATTTACCTGTTTTACCTGTTTGAGAAGTCTGAATAATGTGATTGCAGTCTTGTGTGAAAGCACAGTAGAAATGGAAATAATCTTGTCACATTTTTCTTATTGGGATATACAAGATTACTGCTTGCAGATTAACATGTTTGTACTGTGAGGGCTCTTTATGTCTGCCAAGCTAATTTAGTTTCGAATACAGTTCAGGTGCTGGAACTGTAAGCTTTTACTTTTCCTTTTTTTTTTTTTTGGTATGTGTACTGAGTTTTAAAGAAACCATTTAAAGGAGTTTGGCTAAAGTAAAATTAAAGTCTACATGTTAGACACAATAGAAAGTGAAGACAAAAGTGAAGGGGTGCACAGAGGGACCTTTTGGGTAGCAAACTCTGGGATATGGGATGGTTGGGATAATAAATAAATAAAGGTTTTGTTTGGTTTTTTTTCTGCATGTATGTGAAATTAAGATTTGGAAAACTTGTCTTGCAAAAAAGCCATGAAAAAGCAAACAAATTTGGAGAGTTGAATTTTTTTGTATTTTTAAAATATATGACCTTTGTCCTTCATTTATGCTATATATAGAAACTAAACATGAATAAGCATATTGGTGTCGCTATTTGACCTGTAAAACAATTGGATAGGGAGGAGCAAGCATCTCCCTTGCAGGAATGGAGAAAGCCTTGTCTCTAATATAGAGGCAGTATGGTGCTCATCCTGTGCTTTTTATCATTCAAGAAAACCTTATAATAATAAAAAAAAAAAAGCACAGGAAAAGAATGATGCTGTACGGTTTTGTGGGTTTGGCTCCCTCCATAATAATGAAGTCTCAAAATAAATGCTGACAACTTAAAATGAAGATAAATGGATGTTATGAAGTAAGAGCATAAAAATAAACTTTAGCTTTGTTGTAAACATGTGATGATTTTTTTTTTTAAACTAATCAAATTAACAGCCTCACAATACATCTTGATGGTGACAGAAGCTTAGTGACCAGGAGACTACTTCCTCCCCATCCCCCCCTTTCTACTGCTTTAAAACCTATTTATGAAGAAAATGTGATGCTAAGAGCTAGTAGCTTCAGGTGAACAAAGAACTCTAATATCACCTGACTGTAGTAAATTGCAAGTTCTATTGCACAAGTACTGAATTCTGTGATTCATAGCTCCCTGGCTGCAATTTGATATGTAAACTGTCTAGCTTACATACTTTGAAGTTATCTTATTCCAAACTCCTCACTTACTTATTAAGAAATTACTATATTGGTTTGTACCATCTTTTGAAAGCTTAAATAAATGAAGCCCTGGAAATACAATTGAAAAATATAAGGGTTAGGTTATGAAACAGTGGAACCTTCTCCTTTATGATTCGTCACACAGGATAGAGGAGCTTTCAAATTACCTTCTTGTTCTGCTTTGTTGAAACTCACATTGGTACAATGCTGATCCATGTGAGCAGTGACAGTGAACAAGACAGACTGCCAGACTCTGATTCTGGATGACACCTGAACAATTTGTTCTGCTAAAACTTATTTATAAAGGTGCCAAGTGAATGAATGCAACTGCTGAAAACGCCACCTTACAGTAAAAGGGAGAGGCTGGCTGACGAAGTGCTTCATTCTATAACGGCAAGCAGATGTTAGCAATCAGGAAAAAAGTTGAGTATTGTCAGAAATAAGACATGTTCTGGTTGCAAAGCTCTTAACAGTGGTTTTCAGTTGACTGAGTTTGTTTTGATGGTATAATAAATCCCTCTTTCAAATATGTACTGCTAGATCTTCTGCAGCTACATGAAGTAAAAGGCTAATCTGGTGCAAACAGAGCCTTCAAAACCATACTACCATTTAAAAAAAAAGCCCAACAATACACAACAAACCAAAGAAGAAAACACGAAAGCACAAAAATGCAAACAACAAAGACAAAAATTGAACAAAATATTGAACCTGTAATAATTTAATGCTAACTACAAGAGTACAGTCAAGATCAGACCTAGCATAAGGCTGGTCTAGATGAAATGTAGCATTCTTATGTGGTACAGTACTGCTATTATTGCTCAGAATCAGTCCAGAGCAAGAATATGAATTATGAGTATTGCAACCATATTAAAAAAACAAAACCAAACAAAACAACAAACACCCCCAAACAAACAAACAAAAGTCCTCACAAGTTAGAGACTACTTTGTATTTTGAGTCAAGAGACCTTGAGGTAAACTATAAAGAACATGCAGAGTTATTATTGCTTGGCATATCTCAGTTGCACTGTCAAACACTATTGCTCATAGCAAGCTGAAGCTTATGGAAGGTGGACTTTGCACTGTGGACACTCAGCAAGATCACCCTAAAAGCAAAAAAGGACTTGAAATAAAAAAAAAAAAAAAGAAAAGAGATGTGGCGTAGCACTTGCAACTTGCAAAAATAATGCTTACCATGTTGCATGTGGGTCTACAACACAAGCCCAGACAAATACCACAGTTTGGAGCAATAGGCAAGAACTGCAATAAATTGCATCACTTTCACAAAAGTTTGCCAGCACTTGGCTTTTATGGCACATGCATTAAGATGGCTAGGACAGCATTAGTGCAGAAGAATGATTTTGAGATGCAATGGACAATGTTACACCAGAAGATTGTGTATTTGTCAAGCAGAGTATGTTTGGTAAAGGTTTGGAACTAATGCAGCAGAGCTTAAAACATGAAAATGAGCTAAAAGGTGTGTTTTTTTTCTTTTTTATTCTCCCTTTCTTCCTTCTCTCTTCCTCCAGTTCTTGCCTGTAGGAATGATTTTAGGTAATCCTAAAAGAGGAGCTAGACAGACTTGTTACTCCAATTCTCAGAGGTAATGCAATCTGGTGGTGATGAGCATAATTCTTGTGTCTCCTTTTATCACTGCCAGATTATTATTTTCTTTTTCTCCAACTACAGTAGAAGAATTGTAATTGAAAGCTTTTGAAGTAGCATTTTAAATCCTTCTTGAATGGTCTCTGGTTCCACTAACTGCATTTAGAAAGTAGCTTTTTCTTCAGTGACGGTACAAATCCGTCTTTCTGCTACCTGGACAGCTACCTTTCAGAAAACCTGTATGAATTTATTGGTTTTGGCATCCCCAGTTGTCTGTAAAAAAGTGCTTGAAACTTGGCTTGAATGCTTAAGCATCAGTGGGCAATACACTAGCTTAAGAAATAGGACAGCTGCATACTCCTTTTATGTTTGCTGTTATGCGGGAGGAAAGTGTTTGCAAATATATTTATGTGTATTCAGAACCAGAATTCCAGACGTTATTCAGGTCCTCTTTTGGAGGGGAGAATAAAAAGAAGAAAATATGACAGCACACGCTTTCTTTGGATGAGTTTTCATCAGACTGCCATCCAAGCCACACTTGGCATGCAGACTTCTCTCCCCCGCCCCATAACATGTATTCTGGCCGGTACACCTGAAATTTTTAGCTGTGTAAAATACCAGAAAGTGTGGTATAACTGAAGTGCTACAATTCCAATAGATAAAAAAAAAATAAAAATCAATGTAAGAAATGTGAATATAAGAAAGTATCCTCGGTGAAAGGATGTAAGATCTACTGCCAAGGTGCCTGCTGCCAAGCCTCCTTTATCCTCTGAAAAGAAGGTGAGGTATCCTGGAGCTGGTGATCACAGAATGGTTAGAAAGGACCTTAAGATCATCTAGTTTCAACTCCCCTGCCCCTAGCACATGTTGCCCAAAGCCCTGTCCAACCCAGACTTGAACACTGCCGGGGATGGAACACCCTGTTTCAGTGCCTCACACCCCTCACAGTAAAGAACTTCTACATAGTCAACCAAAATCTCCCGTTTAAGTTTGAAGGTCTTACTCCTTGCCCTATCGCTACAGTTCCTGATGAAGTGTCCCTCTCCAGCATCCCTGTAGGCCACCTTTGTACATTGGAAAGCTGCTATGAGGTCTCCACACAGCCTTCTCTTCTCCAGGCTGCACAGCCCAGACTTTCTGAGCCAGTCTTTGTATGGGAGGTGCTCCAGCAGCCTTATCACCCTGTGGCCCTCATCTAGGCTTACTCTAACAGTGTCATGTCATTATGTTGGGCACACTCCAAGAGGGGTCTCATGAGAGCAGAGTAGAAGACAACTTAAGAAAATCCTGGCCCCCTGTAACAACTGGATTTAGTGAACTCTGTATTAAGGAAAAGAGGCTATTGCTCCTGGCAAAGACCCTGCCTAGCTAGCACTACAAAGCACAAGCACAAGGCATGGGGGAGGCGGCATTAATGCACTGGGGCATAGCTTCTCCAGTTGGTCACACCAGGCTTCTTGCACACAAACCGTACGTTGATGCTCAGACGTGGGGCCTTATGGCGACATGACGAGAATGCAACGGCTGTCCTCGCTAAAACCGGGAGCTTCTGCTTTTAAGCAGGACACTTAAACCAGACGGGCAGGGAATGTCACTAGGGTGAAGGACAGACTCTGAGCGGAGCCTCAGACACTCCCCCCCCATGAGCACGACCTCCGGGATCTCGACCGGTACCCAGAGACCTCTCTGCCCGCCTCCCCTCGCCGCAGGTGCGAGCTCTCACTCAGTCCCGGATTTCCCAGGAGCCGCGCAAAGGCCACGCGCGGGTAGCGCATGCGGCCTAGGGCCGGGTTGGCCGCGGAGGGGAGGCGGGCGGAAGGCGGGGCCGGCGCGTCTGTGCGGAGAGAGGGCGGCGGCGCTGCCGAGGCGAAACTGTGGGGGGACGCGGCAGCCGGTGGCCTCCACCCCCAACTCCCCACATCCCCGTAGCGGGAAGGGGAAAGCGAACGGCTGCTTCCCCCAGCCCCCTTCCCGGAGGCGTACGGTCTTGCCTAGAGCTCGGCGCGGCGGCTGGCGCTGCGCTCGGGGCAGAAAGCGGGCGGGCGGGCAGCTGGAACTCCGAGCCGCCGCTTGAGGGGAGAAGAGGGGTGTTCCCGCACCCCCCGGCCCCAGCCCGGGTGGATGTGCACAGCCGAGGGCAGCGGCGGCGGCTGTTGCGGCCTCCCCATGGCTGGGCCCCGGCGGTGAAGGCGGCGGGAGCCGCCTGTGTCCGCGCCGCGCCGGGAGGCAGCGCAGCCAGCAGGGGGCGGGCGGGGAGGGGGATGAGCGCTGCAGCCGCCGCCGCCTCTGCGGGAGCCGCCGCCGCCGCCTGCACCGGGGCCGAGGGCGGCTTCTTCTTCCTTTCCAGCCGCTCCGGCCCGGCGGGGTCCATGGGGCCTGAAGAGGGCTCAGCCGGCGGGCTGGGAGCCCTGCCTGGCGCCCTGGCGGCGCCGTCGCTGGGCTGCCGGAGCCGCTACCAGCTGCTGCTCTCCGGGAAGGCCCTGGCCGACAGATACCGGAAGATTTACACGGCGGCTCTGAGCGATCGGGAGCTGGGAAGCCACTCGGGCAGGTAACGCGCGCCGACCTCCCTCCTGGGTGAGACAGGCAGCCTTCGGCAGCCGCCACCACCCCTCCCATCGCCGGCTGGGAGCGGCCCTTCTTCCCGGTCCCGTGAGTGCACCGTTCTCCCGGCAGCCGCCCTCCAATTCTCCCTCCTCCCGCGGCTACCCCCGCTGCCTCTGCATGTGGCCGCCGCCGGGCCCCGGGGGATGGAGAGGGCGGTGATGTAACGCGGTAGCTGCCCAGGTGCCACCGGGCCCGGACGCTAGCTTGGCCGGCGTTATCGTACAGATGGCGCTGACACTCTCCTTGCCTGCGGGCCGGGGCGGCCGGGAGGGTGTGTGGTGTGGTTACCTGTGTCTGCTCCCCTCCCCCAGCGCGGAGGCCGGGGGCTCCGCCGCGCCTTGTGGCGGGGGGGGGCGCGATGTAAAGCCCCGCTCCACCCGTTCTCCCTTGGCCGCCGCGGGGAATGGAGCGTTTCCTCACTCGGGGTGTCCATATTGAGATCTCGGTCTGGCCTGTGGTGCCACTGAAACGGGCTGAACCGCGTGTTTTCTGACGAGGGCACCCGCTGGCGGGGCCGCCCAAGAGAGGGACCTTAGTGCTTGTCGTATGTCGGAGTAGCCTTTGCTTGCCCTCCTTTATTTTTACGCCACTTTCGGTAATCTGTTTCTCCGCCACCTTGGACGCGGCCTCGGTAACAGTGGGGAGGCTGAGCCCTGGGCAGCGCTGTCGGGGGGTGGTGTGGGGGGGTGTGCCCATGTCCCTCCGGCGGATGGTGCTTCTCGGGACTCCCTGTCCCGCCGGTCCTGCCAGCTGGCTCTCGGGCTCCGTCCCCAGGCCGCAGCAGGGTGCCTGTTGCGCCTGCCGCTCTTTGGCCATGATGCCCTCTCCTCCCCTCAGCGCAGGATTGGGGAGGCGGTTGTGGGCTCAGGCGGTGAGAGGTGGCGAGTGTTGGTAGTTACCCGCGGACCCAGCCCCAATCTGGAGACCGAGCGGCGGAGGCGAGGGTGGGGTGTGCCCGGTCGGGGCCGGCCTGCATGAGGGGGGCGAGGGGCCGGCTCCCCTTAGTGCCGGGGCGCTCCCCATTGTTGCCCTACAGAGGTGGTGAGGATGCAGATGACACGAAACTGGCACCTTCCTGTGTTCTCGGCCTCTGCCGGCCTTGAGCTGTGATGTGAGTGGTCAGATCGCGATAGAGCTTTGAGTCAGCGCGTTGTTTTAACTTTGTAAATGGTTGTAAAGCACTAGGTGCTTGGCGTCTTCGGTTTAGGGTTTTTTTTCAGTCTGACTGGAGCAACAGGGCTTATCTCCTCTCCTTCCACCCCAAAAGTCTGTGCCTGAGAGTGGTGTTAGCATAAGAAACTGAAAGAGTAACATAACTTTCCCAATTTGCTTATGGCAAACACTGCAAACGTGGACTGTTGACACTGGCATTTGACATCTTTGCAATTACTGAGTACAGGGTGTATGACAGGGAAGCTAGGTTTTTTTTCCCCTATGTAGACCTGTGAGCGTTTTCTTACCATATATATTCCTTAGTTCAGTGGTCATGCTTTTTCCTTTAAATCTTCTCTTCTTGCTTTTGAACTTTGTATCATTTAGTCCTGGGTCTGCAAGGGCTAGTTGCAAGGGAACTACTAAATGCAAGGAGATCAGCGATGTGATTGCTCCATGGTATTCAGATATTTATCTGAATTTTGCCATAACGTGTCTGTATTAAAGCTGTAGTCTTGACTTTGTTCTGCCCTTCATGTTTTTCAGTTTCAAGATAATTAAGCTGATATCTCTTGTCTTTACAGTTGTAGAAAATGCTAGCTTTAGGTGGGTGTGAATGTTAATATTTCTTTTAATTGGCATTCTTTAAAGAATTACTTTTAACTCCAAGGTACCATAAATGGCATTATTTTGTATTCTGTTTTTTTATTAGCAGCTTTTTAGGAGAATGCCAGTTAAAAGAAACAGTAACATTTGCAGTTGCTGTATGTCTTTATTTTTGTGGGGTAGATTTAGTCATCTTGGAACCATTCAAAGAAGCTAGACTCCTCACATGGAGAAAACGGGTTATATTAAGCTATTGACAAGTAAATGACATTTAGTTAATACTAGTGAATACAACCAATGTGTATTGTAGGACTTTCGAGGGGAGGATGTTTAATAGTAGTCTGGTTGCCAGCTATCTTGTGGTACTCGCCTGGAACATCTCATGGATCAGACTGATTGCAGCCAAGGTACTGCTCATGATCACCACCCTTTTTCCATATTTGTGTCAAAATATTGTAGTTGAAGGTTTGAGAACTTTAGCCACCTGGTTGTCTTGAACAGAAATGGTCAAAAATGCTTTTTGACAAACATGGTAAAAATCACAAACATTTTCTGAAGAGAAGCTTTAAAGAGATTTGGGACTGCATTTAATTGCTACAGTAGGTAACAGTGCCAGATAAATTAATTGGAGGCTAAGATAATATAGCTTATAAGAGAAAATGTGGAAAATCTGAAGCCTCCTAATCTGTCAATAAGTGTTTGTGACTACAAAAATATCTTGAAGTAACTTAAAATACTAAATGGATTGGCTTATGAACATTAATACACTTCTTCCTGTGCTCCAAGACTAATTTGAAGAATGGTAGTGCAACCTACTTGCTATACATCAATTTCAAAAGAATCATTGATTCAAGTCTGCAGAATTGTATTCTGCACTTCACATGGTGTCACCAATACTTGCCTCACTGAGTGCTTTTATTCCAAACCTGCCTTTAACGTTTATGAAGAACTAGAGTGCAATTTGAAAATGCTTGTGTGTAGACAAGAAAATGAAACATTGTGGAGATTGTCTGAAAGTCACAAGTGAGATTACAATCACATTTGCAAGGTGTTTGTGCTGGCTGTCATCTGAAAGTGATGAATATCATATGTTGAGTAGGATGCAGTAATTGGCTTTGAAACAGAAGTAGCAGTGCTTTGCATTTCCTCATGTGCTGCGGGCTGCAGTGTTGTAAAGTCTTCAGTCTCCAAAGGGGACTGTTCAGTTAGTGTGCTTGTTCCTCCTGCCACGTTGACATAATTATATAGTTTCTTGCAGTAGTAGATTAGAGACCTGATCTGGGTTAAAATTAACTTGGCAAAAATAGTTTGTTGTAATCCAGACTAATTCCCTGATCTGGCTCACCTTGCGGTTGTGCTTGTGACAGTGTGAGATGAAGGGCCACACAAAGATCTATGTACAGTGGTGGGAGCAGAAACTGCTGGATTTAGCACTAGTGCCAGCCTAACGCTTTTTCTGTTTCCTTTCATAAAATTGCCTAATTCTACAATTTAACACGCAACTGTCTTTGCTTAGATAACAGTATTAAAAATTCTGTTATGGTACTACTAGCAGTGGGAAATTTACTTGTCAAGATTGGTTTGGAAGATAAGTCAACTGTGAGTGTGCCTAATTTGTAGTCTCTGCTTTGTGTCTACTGAAAAATATGAAAATTACTAGTAATGGTATAATGGTTAATGTAGCTATAAAAGTCTGTAAAACACTAGTAGGAAGTATGAACTTCAGAGGGCAAGTGAAAATTTCATGTTGTTGGAGTGTGGTCTCATACGCTGGATTCTGAGTGGATGAAATGGGAAGTCTGCTCTGGTACTGAAGTAATGTAAGTTATTAACTACTTTCAGTCCTGAAGCTTTGCGTTTGCTAAATAAGGTATTCACAGTAAGGTACTTACCCATTTTTCACATTCTGTTGTCTTCAGATACAGTTTTTTCTGTTGTATACTGACTGACAAACATTGCTATCTAGCTGAATTGCTGCTGTTACCAATTGTGCATCTTGGAGTTTTCCCTGAGCTCTCAGTTCCTTTACTCTTATTTTACCTACATACGTACTACCAGAAGTATCTGTTCTATGTGACTTAAGTATGTGTTCTATGAGACTTTTTGTCAAATACAGATAGAAATAAAAATTTGAAGACCGTATCTGGATTTCTGTAGTAACATTAGGTATCAGAGATGTAGCAGTATTCACTGAATAATATTAAGGTTGCAGAGGGGAGATTTAGATTTCCCTGATCTAAATCTCCCCTCTGCAACCTTAATTATTAGGGAAAAAAAAAATCACTTTGAGGGCAGTGAAACACTGGAACAGGGTGCCCAAAGAAGCTGTGGATGCTGCATCCATGGAAGTGTGGAGTCAATGTGTTGGTACCCCATCCCTTGTTGAGATCAAGGAACATTTCAATGATGACTGAAATCTTAAGATTTCTGCTATTAACCAGAAATCATATGGCTGGTTTTGTTCCAGCAGTTTTGGCTGAAGAAGAGGCAGCCAACTTTCTTTCATGTTAAACTGATTCTTTCTACGGGATGATAAAATAAATTTTTGGAAGTAGGCCAGCTCATCCACACTCATAGTAGTAAATTATGCATCCTCTGGAGAAAATTCATCATTAGGTGTTAGTCTTCAGGCTTTTCAAAGTTGATGCAAAGTCTTCTCTTATGCCCTTTCTTCTGCTTAGTAATGAAATGCTTATTCGGCCCTGTGGTGTTTTAAGTGTATATTTTTCAAAATTTATTGGAGAAATGGTACTGAAACACTTTACCATTGTACTGCCAAGTTATTGCAGAATTTGTAGAAGCCGAGTTTAATTGATTTAGATATGTGAAATTTGTTATTTTGATTATAGACACACTGGAAAACCTTAATTTCTTCAGATCTAAAGCCTTTATAAAAGCTGTATGATGCTTCTTTAATATAAAATTGTAATTGCAGAAAGTTTGGAAGCATTCATTTGATGATTGAAAATACGATTGTACAAATAAAGTCTGACAAATGCATTAGGTATAACATTTTCCTGCTTATTCCTGTAAAAGGTTTGCTCCGTAGTTCCATTCCAACTGAAATATTCTAGTCTAGTCTGTTGTTCTACTCTCATCTGTTTTTCAGTTCATGTTTTGTAAATGCCATTGTACTGAAACAAAAGTTTGACATTATGTAAAAAAATTTCATTTCATTTTGTTTGA